AGGGTTTAGGGTTTAGGGTTTAGGGTTTAGGGTTTAGGGTTTAGGGTTTAGGGTTTAGGGGTTAGGGGTTAGGGGTTAGGGGTTAGGCGTTAGGGGTTGGCGCGACACTGGGCATACCGTTGAACATACCGCTCGAAAGTTCTGAGAATCTGATAGCTTGAACAAGCAGAAAACATTGCTAGATCCCTTGATGAAGAACACAGCCTTGTGCCATCTGCCTCGAAAGAAAGGTGAAACCCTAATCCCTAAACCCTAAACCCTTAAACCCTATACCCTAAAACCCTTAAACCCTCAAAACCTGAAACCCTTAAACCCTTAAACCCTTAAGCCCTTAAACCCTTAAACCCTTAAACCCTTAAACCCTTAAACCCTTAAGCCCTTAAACCCCTTAAACCCTCAACCCTTGAACCCTTAAAACCTTTGAACCCTGAACCCCTAAACCCTTAAACTCTCAAACCCTTGAACCCGATACCCTAAACCCCTAAACCCCTAAAACCCTTCAACCTCTAAACCCGTAAACCCCTAAACCCCTAAACCCCGATACCCCTAAACCCCTGAACCCCTAAACCCCTAAACCCCTAAACCCCTAGATTTCAGGCAGCACCTGAGCTACAAGTGTGGCGTCGTTGCTGGCCTCGGTTCCGCGGCTTATGGTTTAGGGTTTAGGGTTTAGGGTTTAGGGTTTAGGGTTGCCAGTCTTAGGACAAATAAAATGTTTGTTTCGGTGGGGGCTCACGTCTGAAACCGAGCGGCCAAAAGACTCCGCACGCATGAAACCATCTTCCATCAGCTTCGCCCTGTGAAAATTTTATGGCTTTAGGGTTTAGGGTTTAGGGTTTAGGGTTTCGGGTTTCGGGTTTAGGGTTGAAGAAAAAAGAAAAGCACCTTGAGAATGAAACACCAACAATTCAATTATCAGCCGTAAACACACGCCTCCTACACCCTCCTGAACCCAGGTTCAGAAACAGAGACGGAAACGAAGAGGTCAGACCTTTCCGTTAGTTCTCTTCTCCTTTTTGGGCCATCTTCGTCCATCAGGAATCACAGCAGGGATATGGCATGGCCAGCATGCCAAATCTTGACACTCATGCATTTCTTAGGTGAGCTGCATGGTCCCTTAATATGATCCTTTACCTCCTTTAACTAAAGGGTTCTGAAGTATGGGCCCTGGGGTTGTATAGGGTAGGGCCCATATTAGGGGACCATGAACTACCCTGCAAGTAGTGATTCCTGTCCGCTCTGCTGCGTTTGTCTCTTATCTGTCAATGTGCACCGAGTCTGTGTTGGACGTCCTCCTAGTTCCGGCTAGAGGGCAGTGTCATGTTACCCCACCTCCCACTCTCGACTCTCCAAAGCTAAGCCCCAAGCCCCTACACCCCTAAACCCCTAACAACCCCCACAACCCTACACCCCTAAACCCCTAAACCCTTAAACCCCTAACCCCTAAACACCTAAACCCCAAAACACCTAACCCCTAAACACCTAAACCCCTAAACCCCTAAACCCCTAACCCCTACACACCTAAACCCCTAAACCCCTAAACCCCTAAAAACACCTAGAAACCCCTAACAAAAACCCCTAAAAACCCCTAAAAAACCCCTAAAAACCCCTAACAACCCCTAAACCCCTAAACCCCCAAACCCCCAGTTCTCTGAAGGCTCCTGCATGGAGTGGTTCAGCCCGCAGGTGGACATCCAGCACCAGCCTCGGGGGGTGGAACTTCCTTGCAGGAATCGTGCGCCTTGAAAGTCCTCAACAGGGCGAGAGCCACAAGGTACGGCATTGGTTGAGGGTTGAGGGTTTAGGGTTTAGGGTTTGGGGTTTGGGGATTAGGGTTTAGGGTTTAGGGTTTAGGGTTTAGGGTTTAGGGTTTAGGGTTTAGGGTTAGGGTTTAGGGTCAAGAGAGGTTCCAGTAACAAGCCAGCCTTTGAAGTCGATCTTTTCTTTTCGAAGCCCAGGTCCTGGACCAATTACCAGGCCTTGGGGTCTCTGACACGCGGATGCAGCATTCAAGCCACATGCTGTCCACCCAATGGGGTTTCGTTGCCACTTCATTGCAACACCATGCTCCAGGCAGTTACAACCTGAAAGCCCTGCAAACCCTACACCCCCCTAAACCCTAAACCCTAAACCCTAAACCCTAAACCCTAAACCCTAAAGCCTAAACCCTAAAAACCCCAAAGTCTTATGCGTCGGATGAGCCCTGGTGATGCGCCAGACTGCGAAGCCCCAATCCCTCAGCATCAAGCACGCAGGGAGTGGGCAGGCAACGTTTAACTTTTTTGGTTATTTGGTATCCTACTATATGCATATATATATATATATACATATATATATATATGTATAAGGTTAACCTTTTGTTTGGACTAGGGCATTCAAGATTTAGAGCTTCTTGGGATTGGTTTCAGCTGCCAGCACAGCAGTGTTGAAAGGAATTGGCCCGCTCAACATGTCAGGTATGCCCGTGTTAGCGTTCCCCCCCCCCCCCCCCGACTCTCTTGACCGCAGCATGATGTATGATAATACCCTAAACCCTGAACCCTAAACCCCAAGCCCTTGGTCAAAACCCTAAACCCTAAACCTAAATTCAATCCCACTCGACCTTGCCGGTGCTCCCAGTGTTCTGGCTCCGGCTCAGGAAGGTTGCATGCAAGACGGATTCCCTGCTCAATGGCTTCCATTTTGTGGCATGGCTGATTGGTGAGCTGTGTCTGGTAGTGGATGTGTATGGATGTGTGTTGTATCTGGGCATTTCCCAACATAGGGGTACCCCGTTGATGCCCCAAATAAAAAAGAATCCCCTTAAAGCGACCCCAAAAAAGGGTACCCCTATTTTCGAAAGCGCCCGAATATGAACAGGAGGACCTTAACCCCAAACCCTAAACCTTAAACCCCAAGCCCCAAACCCTAAACCCCAAACCCTAAACCCTAAACCCCAAACCCTAAACCCCAAACCCCCAAACCCTAAACCCTAAACCCTAAACCAACACAGCCAAGGAGTTTTCAGAGGGTGGCAACTGGGCCCGGTTCCGCTACACGTGCTGCAAGGTGCGCGAGATCCAGAGGTGAGTGTGTCGCATTCTCCCTTCAATCCTCCCCAGTTCTGATCCAATTTGGTGTAGAGTTTAGGGTTCAGGGTTTAGGCTTTAGGCTTTAGGGTGTAGGGTTTAGGGTTCAGGGTTCAGGGTTTAAGGTTGCCCCCCTAAAAGTTCGCCTTAATATACTCCTAGTATGGCCCTTAATTATAGATTCCCTTAGGGATACTTAAACAGGGATCTCAAACCCAAGGGTACAACCTTCAGGGTCCAAGGTAGAACCCCTAGACCTAGTCGTAACCTGCTTCGGGTAGTATAATCCCCTTATCTCTGTGGTGCTTGACTGTAACTTTAGATCCTTAGCCTTTTTGGGTTTATTGGGTTTCTTAACAAGGTAGCTAAAAATTAAATTTATAGCTACCCTGCTAAGTGCAGCCAAGTTATAGTCCCAAAGGTTAACCTTTAATTCCCCCAGGTTACTGGACAACTAAGTAGAGGTTTAGGGCTTGCACTTCATGCCAGTTTCAGTCGATGTTACGCTGTCTGCTCACCCTGGGCACACACTCGAAGAAGAGTTTAGGGTTTAGGGGTTTAGGGGTTTAGGGGTTTAGGGGTTTAGGGGTTTAGGGGTTTAGGGGTTTAGGGGTTTAGGGGTTTAGGGGTTTAGGGGTTTAGGGGTTTAGGGGTTTAGGTGTTTAGGGGTTTAGGGGTTTAGGGGTTTAGGGGTTTAGGGGTTTAGGGGTTTAGGGGTTTAGGGGTTTAGGGGTTTAGGGGTTTAGGGGTTTAGGGGTTTAGGGGTTTAGGGGTTTAGGGGTTTAGGGGTTTAGGGCTCGAACATGTCGACCGTGGCAGCACGAAGCTCCGACTGCTCCAGGCCGCAGGTGCTCCCCTTGCGCTACTCAACAAGCTCCCGCTGCCGTCACTCGCAAGAATTCGGGTTTAGGGTTTAGGGTTTAGGGTTTAGGGTTTAGGGTTTAGTTTAGGGTTTAGGGTTTAGGGTTTAGGGTTTAGGGTTTAGGGTTTAGGGTTTAGGGTTTAGGGTTTAGAGTTTTAGGGTTCCGGGTTTGCATGGGCTGAGCCCTGTATGAAGCCTCTGCAAGGGTACCGTTCTTTTGCGCCACCGAAGTCCCCTAAGCATGCTATAAGTGCAGTGATAATTGGGGTTTTAAGCACCCCCTGAACCTCCAAGTAAGATCTTGAGATACAGAACTGAGTTGCTTGTTGCTGTGGTCAGGTTGGGGTTTGGTATTTTTCTTGTTAACATCGCCTGCTTTCTTGTGCGTAATGGAGACGAGCGTACCGATCGGAATTGAACCCGTTGTGATAGAGCTTGGCGAGTTAAAGCGCACAGTTTGCCTGCAGATGCCGGGCACAAGTGAAAAATGTGAGGCAGCATCGAAGGGGCAGTCACCTTGGTCATGCTAAGACATGTTGTGACAAGCGTTCGAAGCAGCTAGCCAAGCCTAAATCACAAAAGAAATGACAATAGAAAGGATGAATGAACACAGGACCAGTACACATGATGACAGCATGATATGCCACAAACAATACCGAAAGTCCCACCCTTGACTTCCCTAAACCCTAAACCCTAAACCCTAAACCCTAAACCCTAAACCCTAAACCCTGAACCCTGAACCCTGAAACCTGAACCCTGAACCCTGAACCCTGAACCCTGAACCCTGAACCCTGAACCCTGAACCCTGAACCCTGAGCCGGTAGGCATCACCTCATAGGCCTTCACTTGATACTGCCCAATTCAGCAGATGCTTGGGTGGCACTGCCAAGATCAGCTCCCAAGATCATACTTCCCCGCAATTCGCGCAAGTTTAGGGTTTAGGGTTTAGGGCTTAGGGCTTAGGGCTTAGGGCTTAGGGCTTAGGGTTTAGGGTTTAGGGTTTAGGGTTGAGTTTGAGAAGGAACTCAGGTCAACAGCCACAATGCATGTTTTGGGGTGGCAATGGACGCTGCGTGATTTTCCCCTTTGCTCCACCCTACTGATGAGTCACCCTTTGCTCATGCCTTTGTGGTGCGTTGCTGTAACTTTAGATCCTGAGCCTTTTTGGGTTTGTTGGGTTTCTTGGGTTTCTTGGGTCTGTTGGGTTTCTAAACCCTAAACCCTAAACCCTAAACCCTAAGCCCTAAACCCTAAACCCTAAACCCTAGACTTAAACCCTAAACCCGAAGCCCTAAACCCGAAAAGTTCAATTTATAACCACTCCCAAGTGCAGCCAAGCTTTGCTCATGCCACTGAGGATGAGACAAATTGAGGGGCTGTACTGCCCTGTCCGGAAGGACCTTGTTCAGGGTTTAGGGCTAAGGGTTTAGGGTTTAGGGTTTAGGGTTTAGGATTCTTCTTCAAGTCTGCAACCGCGCAAGCCGCGAAAGGATACATCTGGCCGACTTGAGTACAGGCAGAAGTTTGCAGGCGAGCAGGCCGGATGTTGCACTTTGCTCCGTGGCTCTACACTTCAAACCCAAAACCCTAAACCCTAAACCCTAGACCCTAGACCCTAAACCCTAAACCTTAACTGCATAGAACAAAAAATCCTCTTGTCTTCACACTGACTGGCCGACCTCCGGCGCCTGGCAGACCATACAAGTTTCGGGCGAAGCTGCTGGCTGCATTGGCGTGTATGAAGCTGCTTCGCCTGCACTTGTGCCCTAAACCCTAAACCCTAAACCCTAATTAAACCCTAAACCCTAAATCCTAAACCCTAAACCCAGATTGTCAGGAGTGTCAGCTGCAGGGTCCAGTCTGTAGGTCGCTGTGGGGGCAGTTTAGCACGATTTGCTGCTTGTGCGGCGTTGGGCTCTTGGCACTCTTGCTTGGTAGCCCCGTGGTACCCTTTTCCCGTGTTGTGGCTCAAGGTTCCCTCATCAAGTAACCAACCCCAAAAAATGGGCACCCTTCTTATGGTTACCGGGCTGCTAAGTCTTCGTTGCTTCTGCCTCCCTTGGTGCTGTAAGCACTGCTGTCAGGGTCCAGAACCCTGATCCTCTTCTGAGTACCACTACTATGACAATGGCACTGCGAGAGTTGTTACGCCATGCCGCGGGGCATTCCTGTTCGCGTTGCTGAACTCCCAGCCCACGCCGAGGCAGAGGGCATGCAAGAGTATGACGTCAGCGCAAAAGGCGCGGGGACATTTTGGGGGAGATGCGAATCGGACAGACCAAGGCCCAAATACTCGGAATAATTACTAAAGCTGTTCCCTTCTGGTCGCTTTCTAGTTATACTATAGCAACCCCCCAAAACCCTATTCTACTTATTCAGGCCCCTATAGTACACGTCTGACTTGCAACTTTAAGCCTTTAAAGGCCTTACAAGAGTTTTGAGCTTTGAGGAACTATCATCGGCTCGGCCAATGCGGTGTACACCAATGGCTGGGCTTCGATTTGCCACATCTACTGCGATGACGACTCCTGCCTGCCGAGCTGGGTTGAGTCCGTACATTTACAACCTAATATGGCGGGTTCTAGTATGCTTATAGAGGGACCATAGGGGAAGATTATTCGGAATTATTCCGGCGACCCCTGTTCCAAAGCTGTCGGCCTTGTAATGTAGGGGTCGGAAGAATTACCCCACATGATTCTACTAACATAACTCCCCAAAACCCTATTCTCATTATTAAGGCCCCTATCTGGTCGGTTCTCTTGGTCATGGTCCCTCTTCTCGGTACCCTAAATAAGAGGGGCCGCCTGATAATAAGGACCCCAAAAACTTACTTCGCCTTTAGTTGAGCTTTAAACTTTTTGGGTTTCCTTATTTCGTAGGAATATTAAAGTTTAATCCTTTTTCCCCTTGGTTATTGGAGAAGTAAAACAAGGGTACCGTATTTTTGGAAACCCCCATCCCTAAACCCTAAACCCCAAACCCCCAACCCTAAACCCTAAACCCTAAGCCCTAAAACCCTAAACCCTAAACCCTGCACCCTGAACCCTAAACCCTACACCCTACACCAGCCCTTCAGGAGCTCATCATCTCGGAGAAGAAGCCTGCGGGCGGCTGCTCGGTTTTTTTCCGGCGGGTTTAGGGGTTTTAGGGTTTTAGGGTTTTAGGGTTTTAGGGTTTTGGGGTTTTCGGGTTTTCGGGTTTTCGGGTTTTAGGGTTTTAGGGTTTTAGGGTTTTAGGGTTTTAGGGTTTTAGGGTTTTAGGGTTTTAGGGTTTTAGGGTTTTAGGGGTTTAGGGGTTTAGGGGTTTAGGGTTTTAGGGTTTAGGCTTTATGGTTTAGGGTGTCCAGGAAGTCATCGATTCCATTGTGCGGATCGCTTTAGACATGTCAGAGCGATCCGAAAGATCCCGACGTCCCCTCACCCACCCGTCGCAGTTCCCAGAAGGCCGCCCCTAGGGTTTAGGGTTTAGGGTTTAGGGTTTAGGGTTTAGGGTTTAGGGTTTAGGTTTTAGGGTTTAGGGTTTAGGGTTTAGGTGACATACGAACCACTTGGAGGTTCATGGGTACTTATAACCCCAATTCTAGCTGGCCTTAGAACCTACTTAGGGACTTATAGGGGGCGTATAAATACAGTTAGAATTGGGGTTACGAGTGCCCCTGAACCTCCAAGCAGAGGCCCTAACCGCGCAGTCAGCCCCCAGCTTCACTGACTGGGTTTTGGGGTTAGGGTTTAGGGTTTAGGGTTTAGGGTTTAGGGTTTAGGGTTTAGGGTTTAGGGTTTAGGGTTTAGGGTTTAGGGTTTAGGGTTTAGGTGTGGCAGAGGCTCGCATCGCATTGATTGCTTGTTCTCTGACAGCAAATCATTTCATTCGGACATGGCTTGTCTACCTCTTCTCAAGTACTAGTAGGAGATGCTCATGTTCAATCTTCTTAGTATGGATCGACAACGCCACTTTGCAGGGAAAGGTCTCCACAACCGCTAATGATAGATTCAGATGGCAAGCAGATATGAGGCTAGACCCAGTTGTAGCTGATATGATAGTAGCGTCGGTAGCTGGCAGGTTAAAGATCTGCGAAAGTGCGCAGTGATCTGGCTCAGATTCCAGATGCTCTACAGCTATATAGCAAGCTTGCTTGGGCTGTACAAGAGCAACTTTGAGGTTCGCCTGCCTAAACCCTAAACCCTAAACCCTAAACCCTAAACCCTAAACCCTAAACCCTAAACCCTAAACCCTAAACCTTCGCCTTCTCAAAAGGCAGGGTCAACTTGAAAAGCCAAGGCTCTGTTTTGACACCTCTGGATGCTTGTGATGGTGCTACCAAGCTGAAGATCTGGGGCGGAGGGTGCCCTGGCACATATACACCAAACGGAAATCTTACAAGACCGCAGTTGAGGCCGTCCGTAAACCCTAAACCCTAAACCCTAAACCCTAAACCCAAAGCCCAAAGCCCAAAGCCCAAAGCCCAAAGCCCCTAAAGCATTCGCAGATTAGTGTTTTACTGGTCTACAGTAGCTATGGCTTGACACGTCTCTTGGTGGAAATTCTTCCGACGTTGCATGTCAGGCACAACTCCGTGTGTAGAGGGGGGGACTACGGCTTGGTAGCCCAGTGTTGCAATTTACCCTTTTTTTTGCCCTGGGTTCCACCCCAAACCCTAAACCCTAAACCCCAAACCCCAAACCCCAAACCCTAAACCCTAAACCCTAAACCCTAAACCCTAAACCCTAAACCCTAAACCCTCAAGGGTTACTGGGCTGCCAAGTCTTTGTTATCAACGAACACAACCTCCCGCAGCCCTAAACCCTAAACCCTAAACCCTAAACCCTAAGCCCTAAACCCTAAACCCTAAACAGGCACTGTGGTGGCTGCAGGGTGGCCGACTGGGCCTTGAAGATCCAACCATGGCCGGACCAGGCGGGAAGATTTCTTGAGCCCTAAACCCTAAACCCTAAACCCTAAACCCTAAACCCTAAACCCTAAGCCTCTCTTACTATATATGTACATCTATTTATTTATTTTTATTTATTTATATTTATTCAAACCTTAAGGTCATCCGTCGACAAGGCACAAGGTTTCGTCGACAAGGCATATTGGCCTTGTCGACAAAACCTTGTGCCTTGTCGACGAAGCCTTGCGCCTTGTCGACGAAGCCTTGTGCCTTGTCGACGAAAACATAAAACATTCAGGTTTCTAAGGCACAAGGCTTCGTCGATAAGGCGCAAGGCTTCGTCGACAAGGCACCAGGCTTCGTCGAAAAGGCGCAAGGCTTCGTCGGTAAGGCACAAGGCTTCGTCGACAAGTTCAAGGCGCAAGGCTTCGTCGACAAGGCTACCCCCCCCCCCCCCCCCTCTCAAGGCCCGGGGTTTAGGGTTTGAGGTCTCAAGGCCTGGGGTTTAGGGTTTCAAGGCCTCAAGGCCTGGGGTTTAGGGTTTCGGGGTCTCAAGATTTAGGATTTCGGGCTCTCAAGGCTTGGGGATTTTGGGTTTCAGGGGGGGCCTCAAGGCCTGGGGTTTTACCGGCAATTCGCAGAAAAGAAAAACTCGTTTACTTATTGTTGGTTCACGGTTAAGCACCAACAGGTCGTGGACAAGTACCAATACTTCTGGTAAAAACGAGAAGTAAAATATGTTCATTCTGTTATGGGATCCAAAGGGTGGGTGGGTCGATATTCGACACCGGAGTAGCGAGCTTGACTAGTGAATGCTTGAACTTGAGATGCTGAACCCTAAACCCTAAACCCTAAACCCTAAACCCTAAACCCTAAACCCTAAACCCTACACCCTAAACCCTAAACCCTAAACCCTAAACCCTAAACCCTGTCTGTGGACTGGAAAAGTGCGCGTCAGCCAAGTCTTTGGGCCTAGGCTGCGGTGCTCACACCTTCGGCGATCGAACCCCAGGCTGTTTTTTTTTGGCACCGATGTTTTAGGATTTAGGGTTTAGGGTTTAGGGTTCAGGGTTCAGGGTTTAGGGCTTTAGGGTTTAGGGTTTAGGGTCCTTAAGGGAGGTGGGGGGCTCATGGGGGTAGGTACCTGGGGAACTTTAGGGAAGCTTTGGGAGCCGCAAGAGTACTGGGGGAGTACAAGAAAATCTTGGGTTACATACTCCCTTGAACCCCCCCTCCCTTCAGAACCCTATAACTATTGGTTTGATACCTTCTGAGAATTCTGAGAATCCAAGACCCAGAGCCCGTACGTGCCCTTCTTTGCTAGGGTTTGGGTTCCCTTTTTCAGCCCCTTTAAACCTAAAAGGGGTGCCCTTCGTATTCCCAGGCCGCTCTTGGGTCTAGCCCTAAACCCTCAACCCTCAACCCTCAACCCTCAACCCTCAACCCCTAAACCCCTAAACCCCTAAACCCTAACCCAGAACCCTAAACCCTAAACCCTAAACCCTAAACCCTAAACCCTAAACCCTAAACCCTAAACCCTAAACCTCTTCTGAAGACACTCGCCCCGCCTCCTGCCTGCAGTTGGTGCCGGCGCCGGGAGACGCCGCTGGCTGTGATGGGTATCAAGTTGCCACTCATCGCATTGGAGGAGAAGGGGGGGGGGGGGGGTTTTGGGTTTTGTGTTTGGGGTTTTGGGTTTTGGGTTTTGTGGATTTAGGGTTTTGGGTTTAGGGTTTTGGGTTTTAGGCTTTGGGCTTTGGGTTTTGTTTTATGGTTTCGTTTGTAGGGTTTAGGGTTTAGGGTTTAGGCTTTAGGGTTTAGGGTTTAGGGTTTAGGGTTTAGGGTTTAGGGTGCCTTTCCATGGTTTAATGCAGGAGTAGAGCTTGCTTCACCTTTCTGCATGTGGGTAGTTTTCTAACCTATATAGGGTCCTTTTTGGCTTCCCATATTGTACAGCACCTTCTAAAAAAGGGTCTCCCAAAAGGGACCGTAATTTAAGAACCACCCATGTGCTGAAGCATGTTTCTGTGGATTCTGGACGTTCCTGTTCGTTGGAGACAGACACAGCGTTTCAGCATCAGGAGCCACTTGTGCTGCTATTGTTTCTGACTAGATCTGAAAACTAGCACGTCGGCTCCCTTCTGTCCACAGCACAGTATTCCAGAAGCAGGCCAATTGTTCAAACAAATCTTTGCCGCAGCAACTGCATGACTCTAACCATGACATACGGTGGGATGGCCCCTAAACCCTAAACCCCAAACCCTAAACCCTAAACCCTACCCTAAACCCTAAAACCCTAAAACCCTAAAACCCTAAAACCCTAAATCCCTAAATCCCTAAATCCCTAAACCCTAAACCCTAAACCCTAAACCCTAAACCCTAAACCCTAAGCCCTAAACCCTAAACCCTAAACCCTAAACTCCTCGCAAATGGTGCTATTCCAGTCTTCGAGGCCTGCTGCTTCTGACATGTCCGGAGCCACTCACGGGTCACACATGCCCACCGAAAGGTTCATGGCTACTTAACCCCAGTTATACAAGGAGGGGCCCCCTTACTATACTAACTATAGTTAAGGGACTTATAACCTAAGTTAGGATCCTTATAACCCAATTCAGGATCCTTATGACTCTACTTATAACTAGGAGGGCCCCTCCTTGTAAGTCTACTTCGAACCTACTCCGCGGACTTCGGGGTCTTATTGGCACAGTTATCATGGGGGTTAAGTACCCTGAACCTCCAAGCCCTCCTGCAGTAGAAAGGGGGCTTTAGGACTGTTTGCGAGCAGACGGCCAAGCCGAGCCTTGTTCCTCCAAGGCCGTGGGGACGCAGCAATATGACGTCAGTGCCACAGGCGTGAATGTCAGATTCACGATGGTCATCCTCACTCAAGAATAAGAAAGCGTGATCTTGATGAGAAATGATGGTTTGGGACCTTCATTCGTTCTCGAGCTTCTCCGGGTTGCTTCCTATGGAGACCACTTAAGGTGTCTGAGTCTCAGATCCGAAAAGTTCTAGCTTTAGAGTTTAGCTTCTCTAGACTTTGAGCAGATCGTTGTTACGCTGTTTCCCGCCCCAGGGACCATCATCGGTTCACTGAATGCTGTTCGTGTCAACGGCTGGGCCCCGATCTGCTACGTCTACTGTGACGACGACGCTGGGCTCTGAAAAGCCCAAAGCAGCCCGTGCCATGCAGCATGGGCGATGCTCGCACACTGAGGGTTTAGGGTTTCGGGTTTAGGGTTTAGGGTTAGGATTGCGAGAGTGTGAGAAGTCGTTGCAGCAAGGAGCTCATCACGTCGTACAAAGGCGAAGGCCTCTTGTCTTCAGTTCCATGGAGCTGCAGAACGATTGTTGAAGCATCGCGAAGGGCATGCGAGCGTCTTGAGGCCTAGTGCATCATTGGATGCATCCCCCTGCATGAGCTTACGTCTTGGTAGCCCAGTGGCACCCGTTAGCCTGTTTTTTTTCTTGCTCTGGGTTCCCTTAGAAAGTAACCAACCAAAAAAAGGTGCCCTTACTAGAATATGGTTACTGGACTACCAAGAAGCTTATATGAAGCAGGGTATATATACATATACCCTACTTCATATGAAGCTCTCAGGTTCAACCAATCACCTGATGCCCCTCACTGCCTGTGATGGCGCTACGAAGCTCAAGATCCATGGAGGTGGGTATCATGGCCTTGCAAGCCCAGTTAGGGTTTAGGGTTTAGGGTTTAGGGTTAAGGGTTTAGGGTTTAGGGTTTAGGTTTAGGGTTTAGGGTTTAGGGTTTAGGTACCCTTTACCCCTTTTTGTTGGTTCTTGGCCTCCCTAAATAAAGTAACCAGCCCCAGCCAAAACTAGAGGGGGCCCTGATTATAATCTGGCTAGTGGGCTACAAAGTGGCTCAGGTCCTGGTGCATGTTGTGGGAAGAAGGTGGACTTGAAAAGGGTACGACATGCTGTCAGCACTTCATGTGATACCCCAAAATCTTTGTTCTAATGATTTCGGCTCCTTTCTTCGGAAGCTGGAGAAGGGTGTCTCAGAAAGTCAGAAAGTGTTGGATGAGATGTGCCAAGTCAGGTGTAAACCCTGGTACTGTGAAGGAAGGCAGCAAGCCCCCCAAAGCTGCCCCGGCCTCTAGCCTCGTTGTGGGTTTTGGGTTTAGGCTTTGGGGTTTAGGGTTTAGGGCTTAGGGTTTAGGGTTTAGGGTTTAGGGTTTAGGGTTTAGGATTTAGGGTTTAGGGCTAGGGTTTAGGGCTTAGGGTTTCCTAAGGTACTGCGGGCACTGCAACGTGGATGGCTATCAGCTGCAAGTTCGCCCGTGGTCAAGCCAGACGCTGGCCCCCTGGTTTTGCAGTTGTAACCCTAAACCCTAAACCCTAAACCCTAAGCCCTAAACCCTAAACCCTAAACCCTAAACCCTAAACCCTAAATCCTAAGCCCTAAGCCCTAAGCCCTAAACCCTAATTCGCAGAATCAAGTACAGGCTTGTGAGAGCCCGTGGTTACAGAGCGTGTTGGCCTGTAGAAACTCGTGGCACAGAAAAACTCAAGCCCTAAATCCTAAACCCCTAAACCCTAAACCCTAAGCCCTAAGCCCTAAGCCCTAAACCCTAAACCCCAAAGCCTAAACCCAAAACAATCCAAAAGTGCTGCCGATACCGGTGTCAGGGGCCTTCGGTGCCCCTCTGAGCTTGATGGATCCTGGCGCCTCAAACCCTAAACCCTAAACCCTAAACCCTAAACCCTAAACCCTAAACCCTAAACCCTAAACCCCAATCCTCAAGGCCCTCAACCCTAAACCCTACACCGAGACTTCCGAATCTGAGGTTCCCGGTATGTTCTCTTTGCGGTGCTTTACCGTAACTTTAGATCCTTACCTCTTTTGGGTTTATAGGGTTTCTTCATAAGGCAGCTAGAATTTTTAATTTTTAGCTACCCTCCTAAGTGCAGCCAAGTGTTTTCATCTGTTGACCAAAGTTCCCGACATGGCTAGCAAGACAGGCCGCCATGCTGCAGGCGAAGAAGAAGGCCTTGCTGAAAAGCACCTAGGGCTTCTAGGGTTTCTAGGGTTTAGGGGTTAGGGTTCAGGTTTGGGGTTTAGGGCTTCTGGGGTCAAGGGTTTCGGGTTTGGGGTTTAGTGCTTTTTGAGGTAGTGTAGGGGTCCCCTTGTTGGGATCCGGGTGCCCGAAAAGGGACCCTAACTTGGGAAACTACCCATAGGCGTCAATAGTGCTCCCTTATTGAAGGGGTGTAAGGAGGACCCCTAAGTAGAGTAACCCTTAATCTTATTCCCCTATAGAACCCCATATACTTATATAGTCCCTATATACCTAAGTAGCCCCTAAACAACCCCAACGTAACTCCTAAGATCCCTCCCCTTTACCTATAGAATTATACTAGTAGCCCCCCTCAAAACCTTGCTCTAACTATTGCCCCTGTAGTAGAGCCTTCTTCAGAAGCCTGGTGTGATTGGGGTTTAGGGCTTGGGGCTTGGGGCTTGGGGCTTGGGGCTTGGGGCTTGGGGCTTGGGGCTTGGGGACGGTCTGTAAAAATGCTTTATGCTGATGCTGGTGCTGTGTTTGCTGCTGGCTGCAGCTGTTTTCATGGATGTGGCAACGTCGTCCACAATCAAGTGTTGCATATCAGTGCAGCACAGCATACACCCTCGGACCCTGAAGCCTACGCCCAAGCAACTTGGGTGAGGGCCGAGGGAGTGGCGGAAGGGGGCGAGGACGTGTTGAGGACTAGGGTACCAGGCAACAGGGGCAACACTCCATTTCCTCAATCCCTAAACCCTTAACCCTAAACCCTAAGCCCTAAACCCTAAACCCTAATTAAACCCTAAATGCCTACAAAGCCCTTCCAACATTTGCCTTGCACGACGCTTCTCGAATTTGTCGTGTCATGCCTCACCACCAACAGTGGCCATGTTAGTCTTCTTGTGTCGTTCCGGCAAAGGCAAGCCGTCCTTGCGCAGGGTTCACTAAACCCTAAACCCTAAACCCTAAACCCTAAACCCTAAACCCTAAACCCTAAACCCTTATATGCATGTATGTATATATATATACACACAACGCGGCATCCTAAGCATACTTGGATTACCGACCCTTTCCTACTACCACCGTCACCTCCTACCATGAACTATATTCATTAGGTCGCTGTGTAGCATGGCTTGCATGCGGTCAGAGGCTTGCCCCTAAACCCTAAACCCTAAACCCTAAACCTTAAACCGTGCGGTCCCCTCAAAACGAAGATTTGTGCTTGGAAGGTCGGGGAGAATTCATCAGTCAGGACACATTCCAAGCAGCTCGTCCTGGCAGCCAGAAGGCTTTCAGCTTTGCGCAGTGCTGTGTGTGTGAGGCGTGATCCAGTTTAGGGTTTAGGGTTTAGGGTTTAGGGTTTAGGGTTTAGGGTTTAGGGTTTGGGGTTTAGGGTTTAGGGTCAGGATCATGTCGGGACCGTGCGGCATATTGTGACATGCCAAGCTGGCCAGATCATTCGCGGCTGGATGTATGTGGTAGGTGTCTGCCACTGCAGGAGCAGTAGTGATCCTCGTTTTGACAAACGGCCTTGGGCAAATTATAGTTCTGCCTCATCGGGAGACCCGCTAAGATCCGGCCTCACAGTTTGTCACCCCAAACCCTAAACCCTAAACCCTAAACCCTAAACCCTAAACCCTAAACCCTAAACCCTAAACCCTAAACCCTAAACCCTAAACCCTAAACCAGGCAGCAAGCGCAAGCCCTTGCGCCGAAGAGCCTCACCTTCGATCCTTATCGAGGACTGCAGATCTCAGCACTTCCGGCCAAGCTTTGAGCGAATCCTTGCCTTTGACTTGAAAACCCTAAAGGGTTTAGGGTTTCGGGTTTAGGGTTTCGGGTTTAGGGTTTAGGGTTTAGGGTTTAGGGCGGTTTAGGCTTTAGGGTTTAGGGGCCCCCAACTGAAGACCTAGACAACCCCAAACGCATGAGTCGCCACAGACGGTAAACAAGCACGAGACATCTCCAGCCAGAAGGGAAACAAGGCAGTCGTGAAGGGCGGTGATCCTGCGATCTGTTTTAACCTCGCAGTGCATCGTAATCTGGACGAACCCTAAACCCTAAACCCTAAACCCTAAACCCTAAACCCTAAACCCTAAACCCTAGACCCTTAACCCCTAAACCCCTAAACCCCTAAACCCCTAAACCCTAAAGCAGGAAGATGGTGCATAGGCGTGGCCTGCGCTGACATGGACGGAAGGGTCGTTCCAGTCGGTTTGTCTGGCGCTGGCTGGGATGCCGCATCCTCAGTCTGGGTTCGTCCGGGGTTTGAGATGATTCTGTTTAGGGTTTAGGGTTTAGGGTTTAGGGTTTAGGGTTTAGGGTTTATGGTTTAGGGTTTAGGGTTTAGGGTTTAGGGTTTAGGGTTTAGGGTTTGTCAGTTGGTTCAATCTGAGATCTGGTATCAAGACTTGCTCTGCAAACTTTGACTTTGAAGGGACACGTGCACACGTGCATCGAAACCGCGGCATAGCCCCGTCATACAATGCCTAGGCGTCCTGGGTTTTCAGAGCTTCAAGAACAGACGGTACTACTTGAACCTCCAATTGGAGGTTCATGGGTACTTATAACCCCAATCATAACTGTACTTATCACCTATTTTTGGGGACTGCGGGGCGCTTATAAGTACAAATCTACTTGGGGTTACAAGTACCCATGAACCTCCAAGTACACGCAGTGCAGGGCCAAGCGCTGTGTAGCAATCGGCCTTGAAGGGTTTAGGGTTTAGGGTTTAGGGTTTAGGGTTTAGGGTTTAGGGTTTAGGGTTTAGGGTTTAGGGTTTAGGGTTTAGGGTTTAGGGTTTAGTGTCCTGAGAATCAGGTCGTGGAAGTCTCGGACTTCGATGGCAAGTTTGAGGGCACAGGCAACAAAGAGGGGGGCCCTAAACCCTAAACCCTAAAGCCTAAACCCTAAACCCTAAACCCTAAACCCTAAACCCCAAACCCTAAACCCTAAACCCTAAACCTTAAACCCTAAACCCTAAACCCCAAACCCCAAACCCTAAACCCTAAACCCTACACTCGTTGCTAAGGAGAGGTGGGGTTTCTCGGGGGTCGGAGGGTGGGAGAGTTGGACGTCGGCAGTTCGGTGGTCCCCTAAACCCTAAACCCTAAACCCTAAACCCTAAACCCTAAACCCTAAACCCTGAAGGCGTGCCGAAGGCGAAAGGTGGTGCTGTGAAAGCACTTGCGTCGATGCTGAGGCGCTCGCACAGCAGCAGCGCAGAGCGAGTTCAAGAAATGATTGAGAACACATGACTCTCTATCTCTAGCTCTAGCTCTAGCTCTAGCTCTAGCTCTAGCTCTAGCTCCAGCTCTAGCTCTAGCTCTAGCTCTAGCCTCCATCTCTGTCTCTGATTCTCTCTCTCTCTCTCTCCCTCTCCCTCCCTCCCTCCCTGCCTCCCTCCCCCTCTCCCTAAACCCTAAACCCCAAACCCCAAACCCTAAACCCTAAACCCTAAACTCTAAGCCCTAAACCCTAAACCCTAAACCCTAACTTCTCTCTCTCTCTCTCTCTCTCTCTGTCTGACCTCAGGAGAATCAAGAACCCCAAGCGACCGAAGCAGCCGAAGAAGGTCAAGCTGGACGGCTACACGCCCGAGGACAGACCTAAGCTAGTGTAGGGTTTAGGGTTTAGGGTTTTAGGGTTTAGGATTTAGGGTTTAGGGCTTTAGGGTTTCGAGTTTTAGGGTTTAGGGTGTAGGATTTAAGGTTTAGGGTTTATGTTGAAGCGCTTCTCCTGTGCCCTCCATGGAACGAATGCAGTCTATGTTAAAGCGCCTCTCCTATTCTCTCCATAGAACCCTAAACCCTAAACCCAAACCCTAAACCCCACCTTATAAAGCGATTGCAGGAACCAACATATGCGGCCGAGTGTATCGACTATGGTGAGTTGTGGAGCCTTGGCTTTCCACCAAAGTTGTCTCGGTAGGCCCATGGGATATTATATGTATAGTTCCCTTCTTGGCTTCAAGAGCTAAACCCTAAACCCTAAACCCTAAACCCTAAACCCTAAACCCTAAACCCTAAACCCTAAACCCTGCATTTTTCAGCGGGTTTAAGGGCCATCCTAGCTGTCTGGGAAAAAGGAGGGGGCGGAGGGCCGCTGCGAGGAGTCCTCATTGTTTGCCTGCTGAACTACTATTTGCTTAAGAGAACACCCTCCCCCCCCCCCCAAAAAAAAAAACAAAAACAAATAAATAAATAAATCAAATAAATTAATGTTGACTTCGCATTAATAAACCCCCCCCCCCTTGATTGATCAATCTCTCCGGCCAGGGCCTCCTCAATTGTATTCGCCTAAATCCTGGTAGGACGTACTGTTAGTTTTAGTATTAGGTAGTAGCACCACGCCCGTAAAAACCGGATTTCCCGGGTCGGATTTTACAATTGTGGCGGGTTACAATATTGTGTTCCGGCAGCGGGATTTTACAATTGCGGCGGGAATCACTAATGTGAAGTCGACATTAAGAGAAAGCAACAGCAACAGCAACAACAACAACGACGACGACAGCAACGAATATTCTTCCTGAGAAGGGCAACGTAGGGATTGATTTTATTTTTTTTTGGGGGGGGAGGGGGGGGAGGGGTGGGGAGGGGGGGGAGGGGGGGGGAGGGGGGGGGGGCGGGGGGGGGAGGGGGGGCAGGGGGGGGGGGGGGAGGGGGGGGAGGGGGGGGAGGGGGGGGGAGGGGGGGGAGGGGGGGGGGGAGGGGGGGAGGGGGGGGCGGGGGGGGGAGGGGGGGGAGGGGGGGAGGGGGGGGAGGGGGGGGAGGGGGGGAGGGGAGGGGGGGGAGGGGGGGGGGGGGAGGGGGGGGGAGGGGGGCGGGGGGAGGGGGGGGAGGGGGGGGAGGGGGAGGGGGGGTGGGAGGTGGGGGAGGGGGGGGAGGGGGGGGAGGGGGGGGGGGAGGGGGAGGGGGGGGGGGAGGGGGGGGGGGAGGGGGCGGGGGGGGAGGGGGGGGGAGGGGGCGGGGGAGGGGGGGGGGGAGGGGGGGGGGGGTGGAGGGGAGGGTGGGGGGGAGGGGGGGGGGAGGGGGGGGGGAGGGGGGGAGGGGGGGGCGGAGGGGGGGGGGAGGGGGGGGGGGGGAGGGGGGGGGGAAGGGGGGGGGGAGGGGGGGGGGGGGATGGGGGGGGGGAGGGGGGGGGGAGGGGGGGGGGGTGGGGGGGGGGTCCTTACGCAAAGAGTAGAAAAATGAGCCAGATGGCACCAGCTGGCAACTCAAAGCCTAGAGAGATTCAGCCCGATTTGCCCGGCCCATGTCCTGCCTTCGCCTTTAGTTGAAGTTTAAACTTTTCGGGCTTCCTTCTTGACTAGGAATATTAAATGTGTAGGGTTGAGGGTTTAGGGTTTAGGGTTTAGGGTGTAGGGTTTAGGGTTTAGGGCTAGGGCTTAGGGTTGAAGTTTAACCTTTTTTCCCCTTGGTTTTTGGAGGAGTAAGTGTCTATCTCCCATGATGCTCGGCGCTTTTTCCTTACTGCGTGGTCATTCGAGTACGCGCCGCTCCAGGGTCTCTGATTTCGTCGTTGAGGGAGCCTCCTTGTGGAGATTTCGGGTTTGGGGTTTAGGGTTTAGGGTTTAGGGTTTAGGGTTTAGGGTTTAGCGAGCCACTGTCTACAGCCGCCCAAACTTGGGCAAGCGACGATGGCTGAACCCTGGAGCTTCCAACCTGTCACGGAGAAACAGCAGGGTGCTCAACATCTGACAGCACGAAAGTACCCTAAACCCTAAACAGCCTAAACCCTAAGCCCTGAACCCTATACCCTAAACCCTAAACCCTGAACCCTAAACCCTAAACCCTAAACCCTAAACCCTAAACCCTAAACCCTAAACCCTAAACCCTAAACCCTAAACCCTAAACCCTAAACCCTAAACCCTAAACCCTAAACCCCATCCCAAAACCCGATGTTCATCGTGTCCGCGCCTCTTAGGAAGAACATCCAGGAGAGCTATAAGGATGCAGATGGTCAGGCCACACAGGGACTGGGGTTCTACTACTGGGTCCAAACCTGTAAGGCTTAGGGTTTAGGGTTTAGGGTTTAGGGTTTCGGGTTTTGGGTTTTGGGTTTTGGGTTTTGGTTTGTAGGGTTGTAGGGTTTAGGGTGTAGGGTTGTAGGGTTGTAGGGTTGTAGGGTTGTAGGGTTGTGGGGTTGTAGGGTTGTAGGGTTGCAGGGTTGCAGGGTTGTAGGGTTGTAGGGTTGTAGGGTTGTAGGGTTGTAGGGTTGTAGGGTTGTAGGGTTGTAGGGTTGTAGGGTTGCAGGGTTGCAGGGTTGCAGGGTTTAGGGTTGTAGGGTTTAGGGTTGTAGGGTTTAGGGTTTAGGGTTTAGGGTTTAGGGTTTAGGGTTTAGGGTTTAGGGTTTAGGGTTTAGGGTGTCTCAATTCAAGGGGCGCGCTGGTGCCAAAAGCACCCAGGCGCGCGCCCTGACTTCTCGAGCCCCACCCCCGCTTGTGCTCCACCCCTGCCTCGACCTTTGCGGGTTTAGGGTTTTAGTAGGGTTTAGGGTTTAGGGTTTAGGGTTTAGGGTTTAGGGTTTAGGGTTTAGGGTTTAGGGTTTAGGGTTTAGGGTTTAGGGTCGTGCTCATGTTTCAGTATCAGTCTTGTTGATCTATTGGGGGTTGGCTCGCTTGGCGAGGGATGGAAACGCCCAGCTCGCAAGGGCCCCGGCTTGGCGGGTCTGTCGCCACGTGTGGTGGGGGTGCCCTAAACCCAAACCCTAAACCCTGAACCCTGAACCCTGAGCCCTAAACCGGGACTTGGGCTCCCACCTTTCCCCTTGGTCTTCGCGGGCCGTACCGAAAGAGGGATGCACCGCCTTTCCCGAAAGTTTGCTGGGTCCCCCGCGCAGCCCCTTGCTCGCCAGCCGGAGGGCTTCTGGCTCCGGAGCTCACGCGGCTTCGGTGCGTTCGCCCTGCTCGACGGCCGGGCTCACCCAGTTTAAGGTTTAGGGTTTTAGGTTTAGGTTAGGACCAGTGTGAGCTTGAAGGCTTGAACGGACTTTTCCGAGCCCTGAGCATGTTTTTCATGTCCAGCAGTTGGTCAGCTGGCCTGCTGCCTTTGAGGTCACAGCTCACATGAACAAGCTGGAAGCCGAGCCTGCCTATCAACTCCCAGACCCTTGACGGCATGACATTCCCAACTCAAGCTTTCGCCTGGGCTAAGTGTTCCAGGTGCCTTTTAGCTGCAAGAATCCTCTAACTGTTGACACGCACAGGGCACACATGGCCTGACTCGCGTTGGACTCAGGAGCAGCATCCTTGCTTTGTTGCCGGCAATGTCTCTGGCACTCGCGGTGAGATTGGTGGGGGCGACGGCGGAAACACTGGCACCCAGAAACTCGGCTGTAAGCAAACGACAACCTACATTGCCCTTACAAGGATTTTTTTTTTTTTGGGGGGGGGGGGGGGGGAGGGAGGGTTCCGAAGCAAGGAGAGGAAATGGGTCCGGTTTGCCTAATGTTTTGTGTAACCGCCATGGGCGGTAGCGTTCGGTGGAGGCCTTAAGGGAGCTTTGTGTAGGGTTTAGGGTTTAGGCTTTAGGCTTTAGGCTTTCGGCTTTAGGCTTTAGGCTTTAGGCTTTAGGCTTTAGGCTTTAGGCTTCAGGGTTTAGGGTTTAGGGTTTAGGGTTTAGGGTTTAGGGCCCACCGCTCTTCAGGATGAACTACGCCGAGTTGGACGGCTGCGCTGCCCGCGTTGTCGCACGTGCGCTGGTTCAGTGCAAGGGTTTGGGGTTTTGGGGTTTTGGGTTTTGGGTTTTGGGTTTTGGGTTTTGGGTTTTGGGTTTAGTCCCTTCCCTCCCTCCATAAACGGTTCTGAAGTATGGGCCCTTGGGAAAGGGGTCCCCTGTTTAAGGGCCCATACTAAGGGACCATACCCTGACATTCAGGGCTTGGGTCAATCCCAGGTGAGCTGGAAACAGCAAGGCTGGAGCGTGACTCCGCCATCTACCAGCTCCATGGTTGACTTTGGTTGCCCAGTGGTATGTTTTTTGGGGATGCAGAATCGATGTGCCCCTTTGGGGATTTAGGGTTTAGGGTGTAGGGTTTTGGGCAGCCCAGTGGTACCCTTTTGCCCACGTATTTGGTTTTTAAGGTTCCTTTATAAAGTAACCAACCCCAAAAAAGGGTGCCCTTATGAAAACATGGTTACTGGGCTACCAAGTTGAAGGGTGCAACAAGTGGGACAAGCAACAGCAAGTGATGCTTGAAGCCGCTCAGCCTCACCACTAGGCAGCGCATCTAGATTGGCTTTTGTTAGGTTGGAATGGGGGAAGGAGATACCCTACGTAAACCCGTAAAGGGTATGTGCAGGGCCCTACCCTATAAGTACCCATATATACATATATAGATATATACATATATACATATATACATATATACATATATACATATGTACATATGTACATATGTACATATATACATATATACATATGTACAGGCCTATACTTCCCTCACTCCCTACTAAGAACCAGGGGTAGATGCTTGGTTTGTTCGGTTATGGTGCTGAGGACCATTCAGGAGGTGTTCTCCGAGTCCATGGACCTCGTGTGCGATACCCCGCCCAACGTCGAGGTGTGCTACCTGTTCTTTTGTGTCCTAAACCTTAAACCCCTAAACCCTAAACCGCCTAGTTTATCACCCTGCCCCCGAGACCGCACCCATGGGCATCGGTGGCGAGTTCCAGCCGGAGGACCCGGGAGCTTCGAGTCGGCTGCATTGGAAAAACGCCAAAGGATGTGTTCTGCTTGGAGGTTCATGGTACTTATTAACCAGTTATAGCTACACTTATGACTGTACTCATAAGCCCCTTAAGTGCCCTAATAGGGTTATAACCACGGTTATAAGTACAGTTATACTTGGTTAAGAAGTACCATGAACCTCCAAGTGTCCTGTCGTGCTTTTGAGTTTCGTGTTTTTTTGTCAAAAAACTCGTCTTCATATATAGATATGTACATATGTACATATATGTATATACAGATACAAATTTGTATTTGTTGTTGTTGTTGCTGTTGCTGTTGCTGTTGCTGTTGCTGTTGCTGCTGCTGCTGCTGCTGCTGCTGCTGCTGCTGCTGCTGCTGCTGCTGCTGTTTCCCTAAACCCCAAACCCTAAACCCTAAATCCTTTTTGTTTGGGGTCGTACCCTTTACTTTGTTTTGGTTGGCCCTTGGTTCCCTTATATTATAAAGTAACCAATCCCCAAACAGGGGCCCTTGTTATAATGTGGTTACTGGGCTATCAAGACAATTCATCCCTGGCGAAAGTTCTGGCCAGCATCATGTAAGCTTCGTGGTGGTTAGGGTTTAGGGTTTAGGGTTTAGGGTTTAGGGTTTAGGGTTTAGGGTTTAGGGTTTAGGGTTTAGGGTTTAGGGTTTAGGGTTTAGGGTTTAGGGTTTAAGGTTTAGGGTTTAGGCGGTTTAGGGTTTAGGCGGTTTAGGGTTTAGGCGGTTTAGGGTTTAGGCGGTTTAGGGTTTAGGGTTTAGGGTGTAGGGTGTAGGGTGTAGGGTTTAGGGTTTAGGGGGTCTTTCTGCGGCCCTGCGCTGAACGGAAGACACGGGAGGGAAACATGTGTATTATCTAAATCGCGTGAGAAAAATACGTGATTGAATTTTGTAAATAAGTTCGGGGCCAGAAACAGAAAGCCATTTTTATGTGTTCAGATAAATACGTCTTTGTTGAAGAATTTGTCTACACAAACTTCGGATAAGCTTCGAGCAAACTTCGGGTTAAGCTTGGAACAAGTTTCGGTTTAAGCTTCGAAACAGCATCGGGTTAAACTTTGAACAAACTTGGGGTAAAACTTCGAAGAATCTTCGGGTAATGGTTTTCAACCACAACCACGACAGCAACAGCAGCAGCAACAGCAACAGCCTGCTTGAAAGTTCGGGTAACCTTCGGATTTGGAAACTTCGACAATTGAGCTGCTGTCCGGAAGAACAACCCGAACTTTATCCGAAGAAACTTCTTCGAAAGTTCGGCTTTTGGCGGGCCCCATATTTGTCTACTTGAATAAAATGCTGTCTAGTATCTAGATTTAGTTGTTGTCTATTTTCCAAACTTTGTAGCCAAAATTGTCCGTCCTCTTAGTTTTGTCGACAGAAAACTTGTGTCTGATTAGACAAACTTTCTGTCTACATTTTCCGTAGGCTGAGCTCCGAGTTCGGGTTTGGAGCTTAGGGTTTACTGTTTATGGCTTCGGGTTTGCAGCCATAGACAAGTTTGGTCTACTGGGGGTGCGAGACCGCCACAAAAATGCATTGCACGGGGCACTACTCGAGGGACTGTGCGTGAGTTTTTTGCGGCGGGATGCTACGAAGAGGACCGAAAATCGGGCATTTTTGTCCCGACTCGGCCTTGTGTTTGTCATAGGGTCTGTTTTTTTTGCGCTGTGCAAGCTTGCTTCAACGCCTATGAATCCTTGCCAAATCATGCGAGCATTGCAAATTGGGGGGGGGGGGGGGGGGGGGGGGGGGGGGGGCTGCCCCCCCCGCCCAACCCGCCTGCTTGCTAATGCCGTGCAAGCTTGCTTCAAAGTGTATGAATCCTCTGTGCAAACCCCATCATGCGAGCATTGTGTTTGTAAATGGGGGGGGGAGGTCGACCAGGAAAATCACCACCACACCTAGAAAAACAGACCCGCCACCAAACAGAGTCCCGCCACACCCAGGAAGAAAAGAGAGGCCTGCCATACTTCGGGAAGAAAAAAGCCGCGGGACACCTAGGAAAAACTGGCCGCCGCATCTGGGAAAAGTTTAGGATTTAGGGTTTAGGGTTTAGGGTTTAGGGTTTAGGGTTTAGGGGTTAGGGGTTAGGGTGCTGGATCTGAGGCTTGCTGTACAACGGTTGCATGTGCTTTGCCAAGAAAAAATATCCGCAAGGACTGGTGCGCTGATGGCAAGGACTTCGCGAAGGCAGAATCCTAAACCCTAAACCCTAAACCCTGGTGGTCTGGAGACTCTTCTCATGTAAGGCCATGGTCCAGTACACGAACTTCAATGTTGGGCCTCTTGGCTTCGGTTTAGGGTTTAGGGTTTAGGGTTTAGGGTTTAGGGTTTAGGGTTTAGGGTTTAGGGTTTAGGGTTTAGGGTTTAGGGTTTAGGGTTTAGGGTTTAGGGTTTAGGGTTTAGGGTTTAGGGTTTAGGGTTTAGGCTGTAGGGTTTAGGGTTTTCAA